GAGAAAAGGTGGCTGGAAACACATCTAAGGGTTAAAAGAGGTTATTTCTAGACGGTGGGTGGGATCACAGCAGAGCTTTTATTCCTTTTACTCATCTGTGTGTGTGTTTTAAAAAAGGTTTTTACAAGGGAGGAGGGTATAGCTCAGTGGTAGAGCGCATGCTTAGCATGCACGAGGTCCTGGGTTCAATCCCCAGTCCCCCCATTAAAAATAAACAAATAAATAAACCTAATTACCTTCCCCCTGTAATTTTTTAAAAAAATATAAATAATACAATATCCATGTATTATTTTTGCAGTTAATCATGTTTTTAATTTGGGAAAGGAAATGAGGGGAGAGTTCAGGGCAGGGTTGCGGGTACTGGCAGGAGCACACGCCAGGGTCCAGGAGAGGGTGAGCTGGACTCAACACATCAGCGTGATCTCCCCGGTTTCCAAATCCTCCCCAGACACAGAGAGGCAGGATGGGGGACTCCTCCAGGCCTCATGGACACCAGCCCTGCCGGCTTTGACCATGGCACTGGGAAGGTCAGGGGAGGCCCACAGCCTGACCTTGCTGTCCAGGGAGGGGCAGGACCACGGGGAGGGTAGTGGGCTGCTTTATCCTCAGGGAAGCACTGCCAAGTACTTTGAATAGAATGGAGTGTGGATTTCCTGTGCCTGGAGCGGAGGGAGTGGAATATCTGTGGCACGGGCTGGGAGACAGAGGGAGAGGTCCCAGGTGCCAGGCTGGGGGAGGGCGCTGGTGTTTGGGGTCTACACCTGCCGGCATTTTGCATTCAGTACTAAAGGGAGACTGTGCTGGGGAGAAGATGGTGTCCTCTGGGTGCTCTGGAAGGCTCAGCTCTCAAAGGTGGACAGGATGGGTCCAAATCACACACAGGGATCCTCAACAGAGCCGCTCAGGGCAACAGGGACTGGATCCCCAGCCAAGGCGGGGTCTGGGCGCCTCTGTGGAGCCCAGAGACCTCTGGCTCCTCATGCACCCAGAGTCACCTGGATGCTGGCTTCTGGGTCTAGAAGGGGATCGCCACCTTCACCTGTCGGGTGTCCCCACAGCCTACAAAGAGAAGATGAAGGAGCTCCCGCTGGTGTCCTTGTTCTGCTCCTGTTTCCTGTCCGATCCCCTGAATAAGTCATCCTATAAATATGAAGGTACGTGAGGGTCACAGTTGGGAGAGTCAGGGAGGGGGGCTCCCCGTGCTTGTGTCCATGAGCCCAGCTCCGCCACCCCAGTTTCCCAAACATCTCCTCCCCGGGCCATGTTTTCTTCCCCAGAGTCAGTAAAACCAGTGCTGCTGATTCTGAGGGTCTAAGCACCAAGCGAAGGCAGGCGTGGGCTGCAGCCTGGGGGACTAGACAGCAGGTGGGGGTCTGAGTCAGACCCTCTGCAGAGTGCACTTGATCTCAGCTTTTGTTCATCCGTGTAACAAATGGATGCACCGCAGGACGCAGAGGTGAAGCAGGCAGAGAGCTTGACCTTGGGGACGCCTAGATTAGGAGATAGGACAGTCGTGGTGGACACCACCAGATGCCCCGGGTCAAGGTCTTCTCAGTGAAGGGTCAACAATGCTCTAAGCAGGTGCAGAGGTGGGAAGAGGACTTCCACCTGTGGCTACCCACGGAGGCTCAGGGTCCCAGGATACTGGCAGGGAACCTGAATGGCCACATCGTGTTTGGGGCGGGGAGTCGGGGAACAGGTCACCTCTTAATTTCCTGGGGCTTAAAAGGAAAGGATGGGTTTGGTCTGGAAATGAGAGATGGGAGTGCTCGGGTTACCTGAGATTGTTTCTTCTGTTTAGGCTGGTGTGGGAGACAGTGTAGGAGGAAAGATGAAAGCCAGCGGAAAGACAGTGCTGACTGGAGAGAAAGAAGAGAGCAGGGTAGGAGGGAGCAGGGGAGAGGTGTCCACAGGCTGAGCCGTCAGACGGGCAGGGGTCCAGGAGTGGACGGGCGGTGGGTGGCGAGTAAATGCATCACTGCGGCCAATTTGAACAAGAGCTCGACTCTGGGAGGAACCTTGTGGCAAAAGCAAAAGCAAAAGCAAAAGAAGTTGCTACAGCCATTATTAGGAGTCCCATACCCCGGGCCCCCTGCTGTTAGAGTCTGAGACCTTACCGTGGCTGCCAACACCTTCAGCCCCATCCAAGCCCTGTGACCTTTGGTGCCATGTTCAGGACAGACCCAGAACCCTAGTCATTGGTTTGCCTTGGGGACCCCAGACCTCCCACAGATGTACGCATGTGTGCATGCTTCATGGGGGCCCACATGGTCTTCGGGGATTGAGCAGCCCCTCTCCTGCCCTCTGCAGCAGACACGGTGGACCTGAACTGGTGTGTCATTTCCGACATGGAAGTCATCGAGCTGAACAAATGCACCTCGGGCCAGTCCTTTGAAGTCATCCTGAAGCCACCCTCCTTTGATGGGGTGCCCGAGTTCAATGCCTCCCTACCCAGGAGGCGAGACCCATCACTGGAAGAAATCCAGAAGAAACTGGAAGCAGCCGAGGAGAGAAGGAAGGTAAATGCCGTCCTTTCTTTCCTACCTCTGAGTGTGAGGGGGCAGGGGCTGGAGAAGACAGGTGGTGGCTCTGAGCTGGGGTCAGGTCACCACCGACCTCAGATATTCAGGTAGCACCTCCCGGACGCAGGACAGAGAATGAGGCACCACTGAGGGCAACAAAGAAATAAAAGCCCCAAATTTCTAGATGCTTACAGTTCGGTTAGGAGGATGAGGCACTGTGTGACACACCTCTAAGAGGTGACTCTATATGTGCAGTGACGAGGTAAGACACTGACAAACACTAAGGATTTAGGGAAGGGCTAGACCACCAAGGAAAGGGGTCCCTGACGGGGAGAGCGGGGAGAAGGTCATGCTGTGGTATACTTTCACCTCTCGGCGTGCCTTCCATGCTTTCTATTGATTCTCATGGCCCAGCTCTTATGCCATTTCTGTGTAAGCTTTTCTTTATCTTTGAAGCAGCAAATGGTCACCCTGGAGTTCCTACAGCATGTCTTTTCTCCCTCTTAAGTCACGCCACATGCTAGCCTTGGTTAGAGTTATTTATATGTGCCTTATCTCTACTAGACATTTTTCCCCTCCAAGTTGCTAGAATAGTGCCTGGTACATAGAATCTGGTCACTTAGTATTTGTGAATGAATGAATTAAGAATGAATGAATGAATGAGTGAATGAATGATGGCAATGAGAAAAAGAGGATGGAGGGTATAGTGGGAGAATCCAGGGAGTGTTCTTGCTTCCGACCAACGGGCCATCAACCAAGGCTCAAGGAAGCATGTGTTCTGGGTGTGGAGCTCTTAAGTCATGATGGTAAAAGTATACCCGGGCACGCCCACATTCAAGGGCCTCTTTGTCCCTTCGTGCTCCCCTAGTATCAGGAAGCTGAGCTCCTGAAGCACCTGGCGGAGAAGCGGGAACATGAGCGGGAGGTGATCCAGAAAGCCATCGAGGAAAACAACAACTTCATCAAGATGGCCAAGGAGAAGCTGGCCCAGAAGATGGAATCCAATAAGGAGAACAGGGAGGCCCACCTTGCCGCCATGTTGGAACGGCTGCAAGAGAAGGTAAGAGGTCTGGGACCGGGGAGGAGGCTCCAGGACACGCTCTTCCTTCCACGGCAAGTACAACGGGCACGCGTATCATTTCAGGGAGCGAGCAGCCTCAGGCAGGAGTGGCAGTATTTCTGTTAGGCTAGATCCTCAGAGAGTTCCAAGGGATCTGGAAAGTCATAGGCAAGAAACATGAACGGAGCTGAATTCCCTGGGGGACGTAAAAGGATGATGGAGGGAGACGAGACCTCTTATCTTGTAGAGGAAGCCTGCCTAATGCAGGGGAGTAGGGGCGAGCACGCAGTTGTGCATTCTCGGCTTCATCCTTGAATGGACCGGTCTGGTTTACAGAAAGATGCTGACTTGAGCTCCTGGCTCTAAGCCAAGGGCATGATGGGCGGAGTTGCCCACTGAGCCAGAAACACGATTCTCTCCAAACCTCTTGATATGGACGGAGTGAGTCACTGGTCTTTCGAATATTCTGCCTTTTGTCAATAAACCAAACGGTGTCACCTAAATATGAGAAACATGAGGGACTGAGGTCAGTCCCACGTGTCAGCAGAATAACAACAGCCTGTCCTGCTGAGAACACGCTGGCCTCGTTTCCCGAGTCTCATGGCTGCCCCAGTTTCTCCTGCAGCTCCTGGGAGAGCTCCAGCTCTGTGTTTTATTTCCAGGCGCCGCCTGCTGCGCGGTGACTCCCAGGACCCGATCGGTGGCCTCGTCCCATGGTGAGCAGCGTGGTCCCCGCTCCTTCCTGCCCATCCACCTAGTGTCTCAGGCCCTTGGCAAAGTTACTAGAAAGATCTAGTTTCTTTGCAGGGGATCTAGATGTTCTGTAGGCCCTGTAGCTTGCCAGCATGTGGCAGCCCCTCCACTCCTCGTCTTCATCCTTCTGGGGACAGCAACGTCTCCATCAAGTATCAGACGGGAGGGAAGTGTTCTGGGTCTGATTTCAGGCTTTGCCAGTTACTAAGGGATAGCCAGGAGCAAACTCTTGCAGGAAAAACATCTGGGATTGGAGTAGGATTGGTCCTGGGTAAAACCCAAGAGAAATATTGAGTCCAGAGCCATGATATGGGATTTGAAGGACTGCAAAGTGCTTTTACGTCTCCACATGCCTATTTTCACTAGAAGTCCATGAGGAAGCAGGACAAATGTTATCCTTGTTTTACTGACGAGGAAACCATGTTGGAGAAGGTCAAATGACTTGCCCAGGGTCACACAGCCACTAAGCAGTAGATCTGGGACAGTGACCAGTTCTTTGGACGTGGGTCCAGGTGCTTTCAGTGCTTGTTTGATTGTTCAGCACAATCGTCCTGCTGGCCTTTTGTCAGAGGGGCCACTGGAGGCCAAGGAAAGGGAGTCCAGAAACCCAGGGTTCTGCCCAGTGGACCTGGGGACAGAGGCAGATTTCTAGCTGGAGAGACTGGGAAGGCCCACGGTCTGGAGTAAGAGCTTTGGAGGTGACATAAGCCTCAAAGAAGCAAGGCTTCAGGGAAGATACCGGGGTGGGCATCACTCCTGTAGGATCCTGATCCCCCCTTCACCTTTGCCCACTGATGAAGGCAGGAAGTGGGATGACAGAGAAGTGTGTGGTTTCTGCCTTGCCCCCGGCCAGGGTCACCTTTAGTAACACCTCCATGTCAGTATTTGTGTGAGTCACTGACCATTTGCACCAGACTCATCTGATATAAAGTTTAAAACTACAGGTACTTGGACCCGACCCCAGACCTACCAGTCCTGGCGCTCTAGGGATGGAGTCTGAGGACCTCAGGCTGACCAGCTTCTCAGGTCATGCTGATGTTTGGCAAGGCTGAGAACCACTATCCAAGAAGTTCCATCCCCCACAATTTCCCCAGGGCCAAGGAAAGTTCTAGGGCCTCTCTAGGGACAGGTCTTTAGTTTAAGGTACACCCTGGGCACCTGGACTGCCTCTGTGGGCTTCCTCCAAGCGGATTCTTGATACCAGGATGTGATAATATCCTGATGGATGCCAGCCTCTGGCAAAGACAGAATTTACTGAGCACCTACTATGTGCAAGGTCTAATCTGAGGAACTGGGATATATAAAGAGAAAAGGTGTGCTCCCTCCCTGCAAGGAAGCCAGGGTCCGACAGAGGACCCGGATATACTCGCGATGAGCAGGGATGTAAGGCAGACTGAGATAAGCCCTTGAAGTGAACACCAAAATCACAGAACTCTAGAGGTCAAAGAGTTTTCCATCTTTGATCCTCTCTTTATTTGTTTTTTGATGGAGGTACTGGGGACTGAACCTAGGACCTTGTGCATGCTAAGCAGGCACTCTACCACTGAGCTATACCTGCCCCCTGCCTTAAAGATTAGAGAACTGAGCCTGATCAGTGAAGTGAGCGGGTCAAGGTCACACAGCTGATGGGCCTTTGAAGCCGGATCCCATCTTTTGGTTTGATGATGCTGGGAAATAAAAGAGGATTCTCTTACCACACTTGGAAGAAAGGCCACTTTGTGGAGCTGGACATTTCTAAAAAGTCTTCAGTCGATGTATACTTTACAAGCCCTCATCTTTCATCAAGGGGTTTAAGACAACTCTCGGTAAGGAGGTGGACCAGCCACACAAGGGCAGACCGGCTGCCTGTGTGGAGGGGCCGCCTGCAGTGGAGCTTGTCTGTTCCGGCACAAGCTGTCCTGAGCTTACATTAAGTCAAGCAGGGTCATCCGCGCACCCCCCAGGCCGCCAGGTGAGGGCGGCAGAGGCGGGTGGTCCCTGCCAGGTGGGTCCCGCAGGGAGGCTGGCCCCAGTCAACCCGCTCCCTGGGGCCACACCTGCCTCCTGCCAGGCTCACCGGCCACCTTCCGCCCCTTCTCAGGACGCCTCTGCAGACCTTGCTCTTCACTTCCAGTGGTGGCCACTCTTGCCTTCGGCTCTCCTGCCCCTCGGTCTCCCCTTATCCTCTGGAAGCCGGTGTGACCTGCCCTTTCCCCTCCCTCTCCTCCCAGGACAAGCACGCGGAGGAGGTTCGGAAAAACAAGGAGCTGAAGGAAGAGGCCTCCAGGTAAAGCCCAGAGGCAAAGAAGTTTCCAGAACGGCCGGACAACTCCAGCAGCTCCGCAGTTCCCGAAGCAGCCTGGCCCGCCGCTGGCTGCTCTCCCAGCACTGGGGTTTGGGGGAGGGGGTGGCCAGGGGCGTTTCCTCTGCTTTCGGTGTTTGTACTTGTAAAGAATTGACCAGTGAAGCCATCCTATTTGTTTCAGGGGAACAACGATGGGGTGGGAGAGGGGAGACAAGGAGAGAGGTTAGGAAAGGGAGATGGATGGAGAAGGACTCACGGACATTGCAACCCAGCCCAGGTCAAGTCCTCGGCTTTTCTTCACAGTGAGCATCCGGGCACCGCCTTGAGGGAAGTTAAACACAGGCAGTAGAATTCCCATGAAGGGCCGTCTTGGGTGGAGCGTGGGCTGCAGGGCGTGGCGCGATACCCCAGCCGGGGGTCGGGGGCCCTGCGGCAGTGGGATGCGGTCCGAGTGTGTGTGTGTGCGTGTGCGCGTGCGCGCGTGTGTTTTAACCATCATCTTTTGATCATCATGACCAATAATGAAACATTTACTCCAAGTCTCCAGTTCTTTATTTCCTGAATTTGTCCTTTGCGTGATTGATAGGATGTTCCTGAATTCTGCTTCCATTCATCAGGTGCCAGATGCTCCTTTTGTTCCTTAGTTTCATCTTTAGAGCATCTGAGGGGATGGGTGAGGACTGTTGAAACATGCCAGCCTTTGGCATTCTTGGCTTTTGCTGCTTCTTCTTCTTCTTTTTTTTGTTTTAACACTCCACCCTCTTTGTGGGCTGTCTGAGTGGACTCAACAATTCAATCCTTCTTGGACTGAGTGCAATGAAGTGATAAGAAAATAAATCCAATCTTCCTTTGTACGGATTGACATTCTAATATGGTCCCCAAGATGCATAGTAAGAGGGAAGTCCTCACTTTAGGGGTGTGGGGTGCTGAGTGGTCACAGATAGCGAGCGAGGAAATAAAATATTTGCTAGCGGAAAGCAGAGGGGTTGAAAACAAAGCCATAGGGACTATTTAAAGGTAAGTTAAGTACAGACTGAAAAGGACTGAAAGGATGAGGAAACCATCTGTGACCTGGGGAATAAGACAAAATGCTTTAGCATATGTGAACTTTAAGAAGGAGAGGAGAATGTATAGGGGATGAGGGAGCAGAAAAATACTGAAGAAATAATGCCTGGTGTATTTGAAATTTTTATAAAAAGTATTAACATTCGATTTAAAAAATCTCAACAAACTCCAAGAAGGGTAAACAGAGAAAAAAAAAAGAAAAGACAAAAAACCAAGACACATTCCAACCAAATTGCTGAAAAACAATGATAAAGAGAAAATCTTAAAAGCAGCTAGAGAAAAAAAAGATTACATACAGAAGATCGAAGGTAAGGAAATAATTGTTATGGGCTGAATATATACCCCCCAGATTCATATGTTGAAGTCCCAATCCCCAGCACCTTAGAATGTGACTGTATTTGGAGATGTCTTTAAAGAGGTAATTAAGTTAAAATGAGGTCCCATGGCTTCATCCAATATGGCACATGTCCTTATAAGAGGAGGAGATAAGGACATAAACGTGCAGAGGGAAGACCTTGAGGACACAGGGTGCAGGTGGCCATCGCAAGCCAAGGAGTGAGGCCTCAGAAGAAACCAACCCTGCGGCACCTTGATCTCGGACCTCCAGCCTCCAGACTGTGAGCAAATAAAATGCTGTTGTTTAAGACACCCAGGCTGTGGTAAGCTGTTATGACAGCCCTAACAAACTAATACAATAATAGAACAAACTCTTCAAGTATTTTTTTTTAATTCTTGGAATTTAAAAGCCTAGGTCCATCAAAAATATCTTTCAAGAATGAAGGTGAGGTGAAGACTTTTTTCAGATCATCAGTATCTGAGAGAATTCATTCTCTGTGGGCCTGAACTCGAAGACATGATAGCAAAATGTCTTCAGGCAGAAGGAAATTTCTATCAGATTTACGTAAAGACTAAAGAGTATCAGGAATCATAAATATGTGGGTAGATATAAAACCCATTTTTCTCATTTAAAAAGTGCTTAAAGCAAAATTAATAGCAATGTACCATGGGGTTTATAACACATAGGAGTGAAATGTGTTACAACAAGGCACAAAAGGTTGGCGGTGCCGAGTGGATGTGTGCTGTTGGGAGGTTCATAGGTGAAGTTGTACAATGTTGTCTGAAAATGGACTGAGATAAACTGAGGATGTATATGGTGAGCCTGAGAGGTACAACTAAAAGAGTGACAATGACAAAAAGGAAGATGAAAACTATGAAAACAGAGGTGTAGTTAATGAGCCAAGACTGGAGATAAAATGGAATATTAAAAAAATCCAATCCAAAATAAGATAGGAGAAAAGGATCAAAGACTATATGGGATAATTGCAAAACAAATGCAAGATGGTATATTTACATCTAACCACACTGATATTTTTTCATTTCTTTTTTTTTACAGTTTTATTGGTAAATAATCTACAGCACGTGTCAGTTTAAGGTGTACAGCATGATGACCTGACTTACATGTATTGTGAAATGATTACCACAACAAGTTTAGTTAACATTTATGATTCCATATAGAAATACACACAAAATTGTTTTTCTCCTTGTGAGGACGTCTCATATGATTTACTCTCTTAACAACTTTCAAATATACCATGTTGATAATTACATTAAACTTAAATGATCTAAGCACTCCAATTACAAGTATAGGCTGTCACACTGAATTAAAAAAGCAAGATCCAGCGTGCTGGACACAAGTAGCCCCCTTTCAATACAAATACAAAAATTAAGTAAAAGTAAAAGGATGAATACATACCACGCAAGCACTAATCAAAAGAAAGCTGGAGTGGCCGTATTTACATTAGACTAAGTAGGATTTCAGAACGAGGAATAAAAAGGACAATATATAATGATAAAGGGGGCAATTTATCAAGAGAAAATAATCGTAAATATATATGCACCTAATACAGAGCTTCAAAATACATTAGGCAAAACGTGACAGAGCTGAAAGGAGAAATAGTTGGCCAGCTTGACCAATGAGAACATTATATCCAACAACAGCAGAGTATACATTCTTTTTTAAGTGCACATGGAATTCATCAAGATGGACTAAATTCTGGGCCATAAAACAAATGTCAAAAAGTTTAAGAGGATGGCAATCCTACAAAATAAATTCTCTGACCCTAGGGAGTTAAAAGCAGAAATTAGTAACAGAAAGGCCTCTAGAAAACCCTAAAATACTTGGGAATTAAACTACACACTCTAAATAACCCATGGGAGAAAGTATATATCACAATGAAAATTAGAATATATTTGAACTAAAGAAAAAAAAACCCCACAATATGTCAAAAATTATAGGATGCAGTTAAATAAATGCTTAAAAAGAAATTTATATGTTTAAATGCATATACTAGAAGAGAGGGAAGATCTCAAATTAATAATCTAAGGTTTCACCTTAAGAATATAGAAAAGGAAAAACAAATTAAACCCAAAGTAGCCAGAAGGAAAATATAAAGATAAGAGCCAAAGTCAATGAAATTAAAATCAGAAAGACAATAGCTAATTATTTTTCTGGATAAAAATATGAAAACTACAGAACTCCATGGATAATGTTGAGTTTAGGTTCCTTGGAAGTATAAGGCCAAGTAATGATTCTCGAACTGGGCACATGATATGCAGGGACATACAAAACTACAAGATAAAAATTTCACATCTTCCTAGAGGATCATCTTTATTGGGATGTTGGGGGAAAATATTGTTATGATAAATATAAAAATCAAATACAATACAAAAATATTCCTAGATATTTTTATTGCAGTAAAAACACGTAATGTAAAATTTGCCATCCTTATCATTTTCAATTGTACAGTTCAGTAATGTTAATTATATTCACACTGTCGTGAAATAGACTTACAGAACTTTTTCATCTTGCAAAACTGAAATTCTGCACCCATTAAGCAACAACTTACCTCCCATCACCCTTCAGCCCCTGGTAACCATATTCTACTTTCTGTTTCTATGCATTTGACTACTTCAGATACCTCATGTAACTGGAATCCAACAGAATGTGTCTTTTTGTGCCTGGCTCATTTCACTTAGCATAATGCCCTTAAGATTCACCCATGTTGTACCATGTGTACCAGAACTTCCTTCCTTTTAAAAGCTGAATAATATTCCAGTGTACATATACATACATACCACATTTTGTTTTTCCATTCACCCATTGATGGACACTTGGGCTCCTTCCATCATTTGCCTAATATGAATAATACTGATATGAATGTGGGTGTACAGATATCTCTTCAAGACTCTTCTTCAATTCTTTTGGATCTATATCCAGAAATGAGATTGCTGGATCATATGATAATTCTATCTTTAATTTTTTGCAGGACGTATCATACTGTTTTCCATAGCAGTTGCAAAAACGTGCATAGATTTTTTTGAGAAAAGAACAAAAGCTTCAGGGATTCACTTACCTATGGAGGGCTAGTCTGTCTATACTCCACACAGCCCAAGGACTGGCTTGCCCTCTTCTCTACCATGAGGCTCATTTTGGTGGGAAATCTTGGTGTAGTGGTAAAAACATGGCCTTCACAATCATAGCAATCTGGATTTATGAATACTGGATCTGCTATTAATTATCTCTGTGACACTTGGTAAGTGTCTAAATCTTTTGAAGTTTTAGTTATTTATCTAGTAAAGTAAAGACTTAACAGCTGCCAGCTAAAGGGCTTAGCACAGTGCCTGGCACACAGCTAACGCTCAGTGAACAGTAGCTAGTGATATTTTATCATTGCTCTCTGCAGTCACACCGGAGTTTGCTTCGTCTTCATCATGGTACTGTTATCATAATATCTTCTGCATGAGAGATATTTTAAAATATCTAACATGTCCACTCTTGTCTTCAGGTAAACTTTCCATGTACTTCCAGCAATCACTTGCATGTAATGTTTGTTTTCTGTAGAGGCTTTTCCGTTGGCCAGTCTCTCTCTTAAAATGTGATGCTCGCTGTTGTGTACTGCTTCTGTGAATCCAAATGGGTTTGGCCATTTTAGCAAACCATTTGATGGTGTATAACGTGACACTTAAAAATGTCCATACCCATTGATTTAGTTACTTTCTTTCTAGAAATCTCTTCTAAAGAAATATCTTGAAATATGAAGTTTATGGACAATAATGCTCATCAGAGTATTCAATATAATGTTAAAATGCAGCTAATGTTAATGTCTAGCAATAGGAAAATAATTTTAAAAGTATGGAAGAGTTATACAACGAGTGTTTATCAAAAATTTTAATGTTATAGGGAGCCTGATCCAGTAGCTCATAGAAAAAAAATTATGTAATTTTAAGTGGAAAAAACAGGACATCAAATTATATATAATTTAGTAATTCTTAACTACATACAATTATACAAGCATCAACACATCAAAATGCTAATTTATGTGTTTAGCTTTTCATTCTGATGCGTTCCTACTATGATTTAGGTGTTGTGCAAGGTTCTGAGGATACACATAGAAACACAATAAAAATT